ACAGGAAGTCCTGGGTTCCTTTCTGGCTTTGGATGCTAACCACATGGCTTTGGGCAAGTAATTTATCCTCTCAATGCTGGAGGCAACTCTCTAAGATTATCCATTGTGGATGTTGTTGACCTGCATTAGTGGAGAGAGTAAGCTCCCCACCAAGAAAATGGCAGACCTGGGAAGAAAATTAAGCCTTTGGTGGTGGTCCAGTCCTACTCCTTCATGACACAGATGAGCAATGTGAGGTTCAGAGAAGTCAGATCCTAAGACTGGAAACTCTGTCTGCCAGGATCCTCACTCAGGGCTCTTTTCCTCATGCCATGGGACCTGTTCAAAGATTAATGAGTGCATGGGGTCAAAGAGCAGGAGGGCAAAAGAGGTTACCAGATTCATTCCAACAAATATGCTCATGAGCTATGGCTGAAGGGAGAGATCACTGCGGAGAGGGTGCCCTCCTGTCTCATCACCACTACCACTGGCCAATTCCATCACACAGTGGATAACAGTGCCTCTGAGGGGCAGCACCCACACCTACCCCCCCCAGCCCACAGGTAGGTACTACTTCTGGCCCAGCTCTCAAAGCCACCATCTGGGGAGGCGGCTCCTCTGGAGACTGGGTGGCTATCCCGACCAACTGCCACATGACCAGGCCGGACGAGCCACCCTATCTGAAGCAGCCAGGCACCACAGGGGAGACAGGAGGCAGCAGGTGTGGCCAAGCAGGTCAGACCACCATCACCACCTTGACTGCCATTCCCCCTGAGTCTCTGATGGGAAATAGCCCAGGACCCTGAAGCCAAGAGCTTTGGGAAAAGCAAGGCTGCTCTTCCAGTCAAACAGTCCAGCGTCAGAAGCTGATAGAATTTTATCAGCAGAAATGATGTTAAAGAAGAGATGACCATCCACCTTGCTGCTGCACCCCAAAGGCCACGGGCCCTTCCCATTTGACTTGCACCTGACATCTTCCACAGGAACTGTCTCCCCTGCTAGACCATGAGCTCCTTGAGGGCAGGGACTGTCTGACTTTCCTCTTTGTATCCCTATTTTTCTCTTGCTTTAGCGCAGTGCTTTACACCTTTATTGAATGTGAGGTACTTCAGGTGACATAATAAGGGATAAGAGAATTAATTAAAGTCAGCTGGCACTTATTAAGTGCCCATCAGGTGCCAGAGGCAGCTAGATGGCTTAGCAGGGTAGAGCACTGGGCCTGGAGTCAGGAAGACCTGAGTGCAAATCCAGCCTCAGATGCGTCCTCGCTGTGTGACCCTGGGCAAGTCACTTAAACTTCTGCTTGTCTTAATCCATGGGAGAAGGAAATGGCAAACCACTCCAGGATCTTTGCCAAAAAAAGCTCTTGGACAGAATGGTCCACGGGTCGTGGAAAGTCAGACATGACTAAACAACAGAACGACAGCTAGGGGCCAGGTATTGTGTCCCATGCTGGAGATACAAAGAAAGGCACAAACCAGTCTCCACTCTCAAGAACTCACACTCTGACTGGGGAAACAATACGCAAACAAGTGTGTACAGACAAGAGAATCACCTAGAACCTAACTAGGATGAATGATGAACTATGCAAAATTGTCACCTTTTTAAAATTCATGCCATTTGAAGTTATGAATATATGTAAAATTTAATTTCGAATACAATGGAAACATGCAGTTAACATTTATAAAAATAAAATTTTAATCTATTAATAGAACAGCAAAGGATAAGGAAAATGCATTTCTGATTCAAGTTTATTATAAACAATAAAGTAGTTACTGAAAGCAAAATTTAAAAAAAAATTACTGGATATCACACTTAAAAATAAGCCTAGATTTGTGATAGGTTGAAAATCTCATTATTATTGCTAGAAACATTCAGCTTACACTGCAGGAACTGTCTTCTCTTTCTTTAAAGCTTCCTGCATATGCTGGTAAGTACAGAGAGCTGCATCTACTTCTTGAGTTTGTATGCTTACATTCTCTCACAATAAACCAAGTACATACAGTTGCATGAAATGGAGCATTATCTGAAAGCACTAATGTTTGGAATAGTACTCTTCTTGCAATATTTTTCAACAGCTAAAACAATTTGAAAACTAGTCTTTCATCACCCACGCCTTATTTGATTGCCAAAGAAATGGAAGCAATCAATGTTAGCGGCTTCTTAGAGCATGAGGATTTTGAAACCGAAAACCAAGCACTGTTTTTTGTAAGAATCCCCTTCTGCACTATCTCCCATCTTTAGACATGTTATATTCAGGCTGAGTGTTTTCTTTCTTAGAAATGTAAGTTCCAGAAGACAAATGTCAATTTCCAGAATAAACCCATTTCATTCACATTAAAAATGTGTTAATCCGTGCCTCCACCTTCTTCAATTATTTTCTCCAAAATACCAAGATATTTAGCTACCATGTCCTAATTGCACTGTCTCTTCAGTAATTTTAACGTCATGTGATATGATTTTAACATTATGTGATATAATTTTAACATTATATCAGTTTTCAAAGTGAATGAACCAACCAAAGCTTGCAGCAAATGTTTCTTCACTGTCCACTTCATTTCCTTTTTCTGAATGGCTACTTTATTAAGAAGATGTGTGTTTTATGGCATATCCACATGCATTAAAGATGCCCCATTTCTATCACTGTCTATGCTTCCATCACTGTAACACTGGAAATTCCTTGTGGTGGTTTGCAAACCACAAAAAGCTTGTGTGACTTTATCTCTTTTATTTCACCTCTATACTTTATAATATCCCATACTATAGATTCAGCTATTTTGACATCTTGTCCTTTTTTAAAAGTTATTATGGCCACTCTCATGCTGTTCAATCACATCTAATTTTTGTTCTAATGTAAAAACAAATATCTTCTTTTTTATGCTAGTAGTGTTTCCATCTGAATATTCTGCCCGTTCCTCATCTTGTTAAAGGCTCTTTAAAAAAAAACAACTTGTCATGACCGTTGGCAATAAGGTATACAGCACATCACAGCCACATGTGATCAGAGACAAATGCAGACTGATGAGAAAACATGTTAAAAACTTTGATCAACTCACAAGCATTGAACCAACACAATTTTGGCTTGCGTTAAACATGGCCTGATATTATTTTGTAATCCACACTAAATCTAATTTCACATTATTCAAACTCTCCTCAATTTCAATCTAGTTGTACATAGGACAAATTGGAGATAATGTTAGAGGGAAGGCACTAATATCAATAGGGCTCAGGATAGGCTTCTTATAGAGGGAAGGAAGAAGGAAATTCCAGGCATGGGGGACAAACAATGAAAATGCAGAGGAAGGAGATGGACTGTCTTGCGTGAAGAACAGCAAGGAGGCCAGTGTTAGTAGATGGCAGAGTAAGGAGAAAGTGGAGGAGAGAAAGGTGTGAAAACACTGGAAAGGTGGGTGGGGTGGGGTGGGTGGGGCAGATTATTAAGGCCATTGAATGCAAGAAGATTTTATATTTAATATCAGAAGTAATAGGGAACCATAGGAGTCTACTTAACAGGGGACAACACAGTCAGACCCGAGATTTCCAAAGACCAATTATGACAGCTGATTGGAATATCAACTGAATTGCAGAAAGAGGAGGCAGGGAAATCAATCAACAGACTACTGCAATAGTTCAGGTGTGAGACCTCTGGGCCAGCCGCAGGGTGTTGGCTGAGCCAGAGAGAAGGGGGCTCAGACTAGAAATGCTCTGGAGGCAGAATCAATAGGCCTTAGCTACAAGCTTACTCCATGGTAGCACTGAAAAGGTTAACTCTGCAGTCAAGAAGAACATTCTCCCTGCCCCAAGTCCCCCCACATAGGCATGCCAGTCCATTTTACACAGGGCAGCCAAAGGGATTTTTGCTAAGTGCAGATCTGACCAGGTCACTGCATTACTCAGTAAGCTTCAGTGGCTTCATACTGGCTTTAGTACTCAGACTCTCTTGCTTAGCTTTTAAAACTTTTCACCACCTTTTATTTTCAGGTTCCTAAGACATCACTCTCTCTCCCACAGTCTGGGATGCAGCCAAACCAGCCACATCTCTGGGCCTTGCACAGGCTATCCCTGCCCTGCTAGGCTTAGAATTACCTCCCTCCTTCTTTCCACTTTCCTTTCTTCAAGGCACAGCTCAAACATCACCTTCTTTAGGGGTCGATAACCTAAGGCCTTCAAGTAGACAATTTAAAATAAAGTTTTATTGCATTTAAAAATGAAAAACCATTCTTTGCTCCCACGCCACAAAACCAGGATTTGGCTCTGGCCTTCCTTTGCTGACTTGTTCTATAGGAACCCTTTCTTGATCCCTTCTGAGCTACCCTGTATTTATCTACTCTGTATTTAACTGTGTTATTATTTTTATATTTGTTGTGAATATACTTATGTCTATATTTGTCTCCTAAAGAAGGTATATTTAATTTCTTTGTATTTGTATCTCTGGTGCCTAGCACTGTGTCTGGGAATCGTAGGTGCTTTATAAATACTTGCTGATTGGTGCAGCCAGAAAGAGACAGGGTCTGACGGATACAATTAAAAATACAGTGCAAAAACAAAATATTAAACTCTATCTAATAACTGTTTAAGATTTAATAGTAGATACAAAAAATAGCTTTTTTGAGTTTGTTCTCAATTGTAATTATTTCCTTTTAGCAGGCATCAGACAAGTATTTCAGAGATAAAGATTGACATTTCCTTGTAAAAGAGAAAACTACCATTTAATGTTGCAAGGCTATGTAATTTCATCTGCACTGATGCCCTTGAGTGATTTTCTATTTTGGTCTTTTAGTTATATCTGTAGCTACTTTCTTGTATTTTTGGCAGCAATGGGTATAATCACAAGATTTGTATTTTTTTCAAATAAGATGATATTCTTTCAAATCCATTTCCCAGAAAACTCAGGCACTCGGGATGTATATTAGCGTGTAACAATAAAACAAAGTGTGTTGCAAGGTCTGCTGAAGTTAGTTTCCTGGAAGATAATTAGAAACAAAAATTCAAATGTAAATGAAAGCTCTCTTGGCTGGGAAAGCTAGAGGCGTGGTCAAACTAAGACCAAAAGTGGAATGAATTAGGCTGAGCTGACAGTAGACTTCGCTCCCTCTGCATAAGCCCCTGCTCTGCAGCTCTCCGGAACAGGTCAGTTATTTCTTACTCATTCCAACTCTAAGAAACACGTTTAAAACCTACAGATAGTTTTATTTACATATTTAAAAGGGATGACTTTGCTAAGGCATTTAAAGGTACACAGTCAAAACGCAGTGTCATTTGTAAAAACAATTCTTTCTTCAACTTTAAAGTTTTAAAAAGATCAGTGGCAGAATAAAAATATCATTCCTCTTGTTTTACAGTTAGTTAAGTAGTATCACATAGAAAGAATTCCAAAAACATGTTATTCTCTCTTATTTTATTAGGAACGCAAAAACACACCACTGTTTTAAATTATTTTATTCTACAGTTGGAGTGGTTTTTATAAGCAACATCTGCCACAAAATATCCTTCTCTTTATATTTTCCAGTCTTCCTTTTATGCTTTTAGGAATACTAACGACTCGAGCTGGAACTTTTTGAAGACTATGTTTTCTGTGCGACGTGACTGTGTTTTCCATCAAGATTTCTTTGAACTGAAGTAATTAATATTAATTTTTTTATGCTGTGTTGCTAAATAGTGTACTAGGAAAAGATGAAGAGCCATCTAAGTAATTTTTAATGAATTTAAAGGTAAAACAGTTAAATTCATTAATACCCTGATATTGCATAATGAAAGTAGTTTATATTTATGTAGCACCTCCTCCCCCCTAAGAGCTTTATTGTACCCCACTTTCTTTATTTAAAATAGTAGGGAAAATGTAAGACTTTTCTTTTGAAAGAAAAAAATTCAGATATCTGTGCCAATTATTTTAGAACTGTGCTTTCATTCTTGATTACACAGGCTTATCTGAAAATTTACAAGTCTACAAAATTTACAAAAATCTATGGGAGAATATGATGATATTTTTTTAAAAAATGAAAACTTTGAAAACTCCTATAATTTTTGTTAAGGACAGCATAATTCCTAATGGCCAAGCACGTTTATAATAGCTTATTGTTGGGAGAAGTATCTAGCCAAATATAGCATTTAACAGGTGCTAATACCTCCTGAACAGACAGCGAAACCTGAGAGAGATATAACTGCAAAAATGACTCGTGCATTTTTTGAGTCTGGCTGCTGAGAGATGAATTTAACTAACCCTTTACACCTCATTTTACATGCTTACTTTGAATTCATTTGTCAGTGGTGGTGGGAGGATTTTGTATGAGTTTCTGTGATATTTCTTAATTTGTATGGGTGAAATGACTCTACTAGAGCTGGCTCAACTGTCAAAGAGTTCTTACTTTTCTTAAATAAAATTCTCTCATACTTTTGCTTACTGTTTGAACAGTAAGAAAAATCAACAACATATTTATTCCATCTCCCCACTGCAAATTAAGGCGTATTTCCAATTCTTCTGACAGTCCTCAAAAAAGAGCAAAAGTACTAAATAATTGTTTCTGTGGATACGCATCCAATGTGGGTTTGACTGAAGTTAACTAAGCCTACTAAAGAAAGTAATTTCATTCCAAGGAGTATTACACAGTCAAGTTCTGGCAAGCCACAGATATCATCTATTCACTGATTATTGACTATGAAAAGAGCAAATGCTTATTTTCTCACAAGGATGAAAATTATGTGAAACAAAAACAGGTTTTCTTTTGCATAGTGCTCTAACAGACTGGTAACATGCCCCACTATTGTATCTACTTTCTAGATTGTGACCATGGATCTGGAACACAATCAGTCCACAGATTACTATTATGAGGAAAATGAAGTCAATGGCACTCAGGATTACAGTCAGTATGAAATACTCTGTGTCAAAGAGGAGGTCAGAAATTTTGCCAAGGTATTCCTGCCTGCCTTCTACGCAGTGGCTTTTATTGCAGGAATTGCAGGAAATTCCACAGTGGTGGCTATCTATGCCTACTACAAGAAACAGAAAACCAAGACTGATGTGTATATCATGAATCTGGCAGTGGCTGATTTGCTTCTGCTCATCACCTTGCCCTTTTGGGCAGCAAATGCAGTGCACGGATGGGTACTAGGGATACCAATGTGCAAACTTACTTCAGCCTTATTCACCATAAACTTTGTCTCTGGAATGCAGTTTCTGGCCTGCATCAGCGTAGACAGATACTCTGCGATAACTAAAGTCCCAGGTCATCAAAGAGTTGGGAAACCATGCTGGATTATCTGTGTCAGTGTCTGGCTCATTGCAATACTGCTGAGCATACCTCAACTAGTTTTTAATACAGTGAATGACAAGAAGAGATGCCTGCCTATATTTTCACACCACCTAGGAACAACAATTAAGGCATCAATTCAGATCCTGGAAATTTGCATAGGGTTTGTATTACCCTTTCTCATAATGGCAGTTTGCTATTCCCTGACTGCCAGGACACTCATCAAGATACCCAACATAAAGAAATCTCGGCCCCTCCAGGTTCTACTAGCGGTAGTGGTTGTTTTCATTGTCACTCAGCTGCCATACAACATAGTCAAGTTCTGGCAAGCCATCGACATCATCTATTCATTGATTATCGACTGTGAAATGAGTAAGCGCATGGATGTGGCCATACAAATCACAAAAAGCTTGGCCCTTTTTCATAGCTGTCTCAACCCAATCCTATATGTTTTTATGGGATCCTCTTTTAAAATGCACATTACCAAAATGGTGAAGAAATATGGCTACTGGAGGAGACAGAGACAAAATCCAGAAGACATTCCCTTTGATTCCGAAGGTCAAGCGGAGCCAACAAATACTTTTAGTATCTAGCAGACAGACTGATCTCTTTGTTTACTGGGGTGTATGATGCTGCTCAATGTATTTTAATATGGGAGAACACATCTGTGTTTATCAGAGACTCAAATTTCAGTGTGGGACACTAAGACATATATCTTGACAAGACAGTTTTGCATCTTGTGGCAAAAACATAGGATAAAAATACAAGCCAAGTTTCCCCTTGTGATCTCAAAAAAATCTAGCACTGCACTAAATGAATTAAAACAATAATAACAACTACCAGAGGAGGAAAGGAAGAAATCCCTACAGAAAATCCAGCAGAGACCTAGGAAATGAAAAAGCAAAGAAAACTCCTAAAGCAATAAAAGACACAGCATAGGGAATGCTAAGAGAAATCTCTGAGGGTAGAGAATAATTCTATAATAACTAGAATCACAGAAGAGGGGATATAACATACATAGCAACCCTAAGAATTGTTGGAAGGCCTAGTAAAAGAATCAAGGGAAGAGATAAAGAGGGAAATTAGAGCTCTCAATGAAAAACTCAAAATGAGAATGGGTGGCTCAGAACAGAAGTCAGAAAACCTTGGCCAAGCAGGAGACACCCACAAAAAGAATAGAGGAGACAGAGTTCAAAAATTCAAAGATGTAATATGGTTATTACAGGAAAGTCAAAAGACAGCAACAGTGGAAAAACATGTGAGATCTCTTCAATCAAAAGTAAAACTCTTACACATGTACTCCAGAGAAGACAAGGGCACTGATTATGAAATAAGGAGAGAAACCACGATATCTTCATCTAGCCATTGTATCAAAAAGATGGATTTATGCGCTACAGAAAAACGAACCAAACAAAAAAACCCTTGTGAAAATAAAAAAAGTAAATACTAATTTATCCAGCTACAAAAATCAAGAGCAGCAGGTAGCACACTTACAGGTAAAAGCCCGAGGTCAGCAGAAAGGGGTACTGGGAAGAGTGCAGGCACTGAGGGGAAGCTAGCCAGAGGACCCAAGGGGAGGTGAGCACAGAACTGGGAAGTCTTCCAGCTCCCATGTTCTCTGACAGCTCGAGCCTGGAAGACCTAGGGCAGTCAATCAGGTCCAGTCCCACAGGACCAGAAGACCTCAGTGCTACAGTGAGTAATCCACAGCTAGGGTGGTTAAGCACCTGAGCAGTCAGAAAAAGAGGCAAGCTTCCTATGTGGAGGATTAGTCCACATTATACTAGGCACTGAAAGTTTGTAGCTACAGCTACAATACCAATGTACAAACTGACAGCCTTGAAAAACTCAGCATTCTGTACAAAGTGGATGTAGGCGAACTGGGACCTGCCGGCAGGAGTGTTAGGGAGTCAGTGACAACACAAATGAAGACCAGGCGGGGGGGGCCACCACTCTATCCAAGTGTACAGGAGCAGTCAGAATCTGGCCTTGACAAAAAGTCCTAATTTAGGAAGGAAAATGTGAAATGAGAATAAACAGAAAAAAACATTTATGACCAAAAAAAAAAAAGGCATCCAAGGACTTTCACTGTATGAGTCTAGAGGAAGAGACTAAGTTTACAAAGACTACAGGCAGAACCTCAGACAGAGGCATAAATTGCCCACAAGATCTATTAAAATTTCTGGAAGGGATGAAACAAGAAATAAACAGAATATGTACAAATTAAATTAGAACTCTAGAGGAAGGATTTGGAAGAAGCATGAACAGTTTGGTACCGGAGATATGAAATCTTACACAAGTAACAGACCCCTTGGAAATGACTCTAAGAAATAAATGACTCCAGGAGATAAGAAGAAATATTAAAACAAAGTGAAAAGAATTTTAAAAAGAGGAAAATATAAGGTATCTCCTAATAAAAACAACTCACTTAGAAAACAGATCACAGACAGTTAATCTAACAATTAGACTAACAACCATGACAAAAAACAAATAACAGCAGGATATTTTATTCTAAGAAATCATAAATGAAAATGACCCCAGACCCATTAGAACCAGTCACCTCTTAAAAGAAACCACCAAAGAAAACTCCCAGGAACATTATGGACCAATCCAGAGCTTTCAGGCTAAAAGTAAAAAATGCTAAGCACAGCCAGAAGGAAAAAGTGCAAATACCAAGGAACCATGATCAGGATCATTCAAGACTTGGCAGCTACCAAATAAAGGACAGAAAAACTCAGAATACATGCTATTCCAAAAGGCAAAAGATACAGACTTAAAAAGGACTTTTAATGAATTAGAGGACTTTCAAGCATTCCTGATAAAAAGACAAAAGCTGAATAGAATCTCTGAAAACACAGAAGTCAAGAGAAACTAAGGAAGGTAAATATACTGGGGCAATTGGAAGGGAATATACAGTGATAAAATGCATTATAGAGGGAAGCGATAACAAATATTTGCTTAGAATCTTAATGTCTATAAAAATAAAAGAAATTAAATAAGACAGAAGGACTAGGGATGATTTTGTTCTGTTCTGATGATTTCAAGTGAAGAAAAGGGAAGGGGTGGGAAGGGAATACAGTAGGGAAGACAAGGGGGAGAGCAACTGACTTTGCATGAAGGAAGGGGTGGGGGAAACATGTATCACATGAATCTCACTTTCATCTGAACTGGACAAAAGGTGGTTGAAAACACACACACACACACACACACACACACACACCTGTTTGGTGCAGAAAAATGTCAAACTCAAGGCGAACAGAAACAGGAAAAGAGATGCTAGAGGAGAGGAGGGATTTAAGAGGGGGGACAGAATTAGGTAAGAGTAGTCATAAGCAAAATGCACTACAATTCTGAAGTTGATTAAGACAGACTGGAAGTGAGGATTAAAGAAAAAGAGAGAAAGAAAATCTATGAGTGGGGTTTGGGCAAAGAAAAGAGAAGGGGGCAGTGGCGTGGCATATCATTTACTAATACTGAGGACATTTTTTTCTCTCTACCTTCTTGTTCCTAAAGAGGGAGATGGCATAAGGAGAAGAAAACACAGAAGAACAAAAAATGAAGAGATATACATGATTAATAATCATTACAAAAACATGAGTAGGATGACTTTGCCTATAAAACAGAAAAGGAATGCAGAACAGATTAGAAAGCAGAATTCAACAATGTGCTATTTACAAGAAACATACTTGAAATATAAAGATTCACATAGTATTAAAATAAGGGGCTGCAGTATAATTTATTATGTTTAGCTGAACTAAAAAAATCAGGGATAGCAATCATCATTTTAGACAAAGTAACAGCGAAGAGAGACGTGGTTATAAAGGATGAAAAGGACATTACATTTTACTTAAAAACACCATAAACTATGAATAAATATACAATCTTAAGTGTGTATAAGCAATGAGTAATAGTATCTAACTACTATAGGAAAAGTTAATTAACTTACCAGGAGAAAGAGACAAAAAAACTATACTACTTGGGGACCTCAATGTATCTATTTCAGATTTAGACAAAGTTCATAAAGAAGCTAAGGACCTGAAAAGAACTTTAGAAAAGTTAGATATGATAGATCTCTGGTTTACTGAAAGGGAAAAGGAATATACATATTTCTCAGCTCTGCATGGCACATTTACAAAAACTAACCAGTTTTGGAGCATAATAACCTCAAAAATGTAGAAAAACAGAAATATTTAAAATATTCTTTATGTGCCACAATGTAAAGAAAATTATAAAGGCCCTTGAAAGAAGTATTAAAAATGATTTGGAGACTAAGCAACTTAATCTAAAGAATTAATAGATCAAAGAATTAAAAACAATATTAAGTTTCATCAAATAAAATAAAAAGAGAACATAGCAAAACTGATAGCAATCTCCCAAAACAGTTCTAAATAGCAAATTTAAATACTTAAAAAAATTTAACACTAGAAAATCTATACACTTTCAACAATAAATAGAAGACTAGAACAGTGAATTGGGTTATGAAACAAACAAAAAATAAAAACCCTAAAAAACCAACACTGCCTCCTCACAAAAAAACCCCAAAAACAAAAAACCGAAAATAGATATGGTAAAAATCAAAGAAAAAATTTTTTAAATCATTCAATTAGTAAATAAAATAAGAAACTATTTTAAAAAATAAGAAATGAAATAAGCTATTAACTCAATGATAAAAAAGAAAATCAAATTTCTTGTATCAAAAATGAAAAAAGAAAAATCACCACAAACAGAGAATAAAAGAAATTTCAATTAAATGCCAACAAAATTGACAATTTAAGTGAAATGGATGAACGTCAACAAAATTTAAATCACCTAGATTACCAGGACAATATAAAGAAAATTTAAATAACCCAATATCAGAAACACAAAACTGAAACCAAGGAAAGTTAAATGGCAGAAAGGAAACTACAGACCAATATTACTAATGAATAGCAATGCAAATATTTAAAATATAACAGTAGCAAATAGGCTATAACAACTTATAGAAAAGATTTATAGTATGAGAAAGTTAAGATTTACATTAAATATAATACTGGTTCAATATCAGAAAAACTATAAACATAATAGACCATATTAATAGCAAAGCAATTAAAATCATATACTTTTGTCAACATATGCTAAAAAAGCTTCTAACAAGATACAACACCCCTTTATGTTAAAAACAATAAGAGATATAGGGAAAATGGCCTTTTCCTGCATACGTTAAATAGTATCTCTCTTTAAATGAAGAAGCAACATTACAGGTAATGAAAATCAACCAGAGCCCTTTCCAAATAAGATTAGGCGTGGTGCAAGGCTGTTCATTATCACTATTTTGTTTAACATGGTGCTAGAAACGCTATAGCCATAGCAACATGACAAGAAAAAGAAACTGAGGGAATAAGCAGTGGTTCAGCAGAAACAAAACTATCACTTTTTGCAGATGCTTGTTGACAATGATGGTAATAAAAATATACAAAATATTTAGGAATCCCTCTACCAAGACACACATAGGAAATCTATGACTACAACTACAAATATTGTTTCCAAAGATAAATACAGATATAGATAAATGGAGAAATATTAATTGCATGTGGTTGGTCTCTGCCCATATATATAAAAAAACTGACCATTGTACCTAAATTAATCTATTCAGTGCCATCAACAGACATGTAAAAAAAGTTTTAAATTACTAACAGAGAAATGCACATTGAAACATCATACCTATGGTAAAGGTGACAAAAAGGAGAATGTGAATTGTTGGGAGGACTGTGGGAAGACAGACATACTGCTCCACTGTTGGTAGGGTAGTGAAATGGTCCATTCATTCTGACAAGTATTTTGGAATTATGTCCCCCAAATCACTAAATTGTACGTACTTTTTATCCTAGCAATACCACTATTAGGCCTTTATAACCCAAAGAGAACAGAGAAAGACTCATATGTTCACAAATATTTACAGCAGTTCTTGCTATAGCAAAGAACTGGGAACAAAGAGGATGCCCATCAACTGGGGAATGGGTGAACAAATGATGGGACATGAATATAATGAAATACTACTGTGCCATAAGAAATTATAAAAGGGGTATTTCAGAGAAACCTGTGAAGACTTGTGTGAACTGATATAGAGGGAAGGAAGTAGAAACAGGAGAACATGAAAACTGTACATAGTAATTTAAACAAGAATAACAATACTGTAAAGAAAAACTATTTGGAAAGATTCAATAACTGATCAACACAATGACCAAACATAATTCCAGAGAACCTGATGCTACCCATACATCCCGAAAGAAGAGTGAAGAACTCAAGTGCAGAATGATCTATAAATGTTTGGAATGACAAATGTGTATATTTATTTTGCTTGGCTATACTCTTTTTGTTACAAGGATTGTATTTGTATTTTTTTTTAATTTGGGGAAAGGGGTTTAAAAATGAAAAAATAAATAAAAAAGAAAGAGTTTTTAGAATTTTAAAAAAGAAATTACAGTAGTAGGATAATTTAAAGTGCGTAGAAACCTGGTCTATAATAGGGAAAGGTAGGATGACTCTCTGTGCAAAAGGAAACAGGGAGGGAACTGTCTCAAACTAAAAATAAATTATAGCTAAAAGGAGAGCAGGGACAGACTAGAGATTTGAGTCTGAACTGGGAAGGGAAGAAGAAAGGAGTGGGTTGGGATCTAATTGTTCCCAGATCCTGGGGACAAACTTTTCAAGGAAGAAACATTATAAAAAGATTTGATGGAGGGGGAAAAAAACAAGCTTAACAATCATAACCATAAATATGAACGGGATGGACTTATTCATAAAGCAGAAGAGAGCAGTGGAATGGATCAGAAAGCAAATTTCAGTGATTTGCTGTATGTAAGAAATATTCTTAAAACACAAATATTCATACAAGAGTAAAATGAAGAGCTGAAATATTATTTCTCATTTGAATCTGAAATAACAGTAGTAGAAATCATGACCTCACACAAGGCAGTGGTTAAAACAAACAAGGTTATATAGGGAATCCACATGATGCTTAAACATACTATAGATAATGAAAATATAAGTTTTAAATATGTATACATCAAATGATATAGTACCTAAATGCTTTAAGTAAAAGCTAACTAAATTACTATGGAAAATAGTTGTAGATGGTAAATATCTCTCACTCTGACTTAGATATCAAGCAGAAAGATAAGCAAAAAGTTAAAGATTTGAATGAAATGTTAGATATGATAGCTCTTTGGTGACTACTGAACATGAAACTTAAAGAACATACATAATTTTTGCATCATATGGTATATTAGCAAAATATGATTATATGTTAAAACATAAAGAACTCATAAATGTATAAAGGCAGAAATGTTAAATTCCTTACAGATCATAACACCAGTATATTAATTAAACCTATTCATTACTAAATAAAAACAAAACAATGTTATCCCAAATACTGAGTAGATTCAAAGAACAAATCACAAAAATGAAAATAATTACATTAAAGACAATGATATTGAGGTAACCTTGCAAAATGTTACAGATGAGGCTAAAGAAGGAGGAAAATTTTGATTGCTCAAAAGATTAAAAAAGACAATAAACTGAACATGTAACTGAAAACCTAGAAAAACTAATGCTACAAGTACAAAAGATGAAATCTTTAAAATCAAAGAAGCAAAACAAAGCAAAAACACTACTGAATCATAAAATGAAAAGTTTTTTTTAAATTAAATCAATAAAATTAATACACTATTATTTAACTTGCCAAAGATAGAAACATTAAATGACTAAAAACAAAAATCAGAAGGAGCAATTCACAACAAATAGAAAAGAAAGCAGAAACTACTATACCCAATTTTGGTCCAAAACCTTTCAAGTTAACAAAACAGGAAACAGGTAATATTAACAACTCAACCTCAGAAAGCAAAATTAATTAAGTCATAAATAACTACCTAAGGGAAGAAACCCTGCTCCAGGTAGATTTATAAATGATTTTTATCAAGGATTTAATCAACTAATAATTTCTGTATTACATAAACTGTTTAT